GTTACTAGCCATGGTAACTAGCTATGGTAACTAGCACTACATTACTTTATCAGCCATGGTTACTAGCCATGGTAAATAGCACTACATTACTTTATCAGCCATGGTAACTAGCCATGGTAACTAGCACTACATTACTTTATCAGCCATGGTAACTAGCCATGGTAACTAGCCATGGTAACTAGCACTACATTACTTTATCAGCCATGGTAACTAGCCATGGTAACTAGCACTACATTACTTTATCAGCCATGGTAACTAGCCATGGTAACTAGCACTACATTACTTTATCAGCCATGGTTACTAGCCATGGTAACTAGCCATGGTAACTAGCACTACATTACTTTATCAGCCATGGTAACTAGCCATGGTAACTAGCACTACATTACTTTATCAGCCAGGTAACTAGCCATGGTAACTAGCACTACATTACTTTATCAGCCATGGTAACTAGCCATAGTAACTAGCACTACATTACTTTATCAGCCATGGTAACTAGCCATGGTAACTAGCACTACATTACTTTATCAGCCATGGTTACTAGCCATGGTAAATAGCACTACATTACTTTATCAGCCATGGTAACTAGCCATGGTAACTAGCACTACATTACTTTATCAGCCATGGTAACTAGCCATGGTAACTAGCACTACATTACTTTATCAGCCATGGTAACTAGCCATGGTAACTAGCACTACATTACTTTATCAGCCATGGTAACTAGCCATGGTAACTAGCCATGGTAACTAGCACTACATTACTTTATCAGCCATGGTAACTAGCCATGGTAACTAGCCATGGTAACTCCAGCCATGATAACTAGCACTACATTACATTATCAGCCAGGTAACTAGCCATGGTAACTAGCACTACATTACTCTATCAGCCATGGTAACTAGCCATGGTAACTAGCACTACATTACTTTATCAGCCATGGTTACTAGCCATGGTAACTAGCCATGGTAACTAGCACTACATTACTTTATCAGCCATGGTAACTAGCCATGGTAACTAGCACTAAATTACTTTATCAGCCATGGTAACTAGCCATGGTAACTAGCACATTATTACTTTATCAGCCATGGTAACTAGCCATGGTAACTAGCCATGGTAACTCCAGCCATGATAACTAGCACTACATTACTTTATCAGCCAGGTAACTAGCCATGGTAACTAGCACTACATTACTCTATCAGCCATGGTAACTAGCCATGGTAACTAGCACTACATTACTTTATCAGCCATGGTTACTAGCCATGGTAACTAGCTATGGTAACTAGCACTACATTACTTTATCAGCCATGGTTACTAGCCATGGTAACTCCAGCCATGATAACTAGCACTACATTACTTTATCAGCCATGGTTACTAGCCATGGTAACTCCAGCCATGGTAACTAGCACTACATTACTTTATCAGCCATGGTTACTAGCCATGGTAACTCCAGCCATGATAACTAGCACTACATTACTTTATCAGCCATGGTTACTAGCCATGGTAACTAGCACTACATTACTTTATCAGCCATGGTAACTAGCCATGGTAACTAGCACTACATTACTTTATCAGCCATGGTAACTAGCCATGGTAACTAGCACTACATTACTTTATCAGCCATGGTAACTAGCCATGGTAACTCCAGCCATGGTAACTAGCACTACATTACTTTATCAGCCATGGTTACTAGCCATGGTAACTAGCACTACATTACTTTATCAGCCATGGTAACTAGCCATGGTAACTAGCCATGGTAACTAGCACTACATTACTTTATCAGCCATGGTAACTAGCCATGGTAACTCCAGCCATGGTAACTAGCACTACATTACTTTATCAGCCATGGTTACTAGCCATGGTAACTAGCCATGGTAACTAGCACTACATTACTTTATCAGCCATGGTTACTAGCCATGGTAACTCCAGCCATGGTAACTAGCACTACATTACTTTATCAGCCATGGTAACTAGCCATGGTAACTAGCACTACATTACTTTATCAGCCATGGTAACTAGCCATGGTAACTAGCACTACATTACTTTATCAGCCATGGTAACTAGCCATGGTAACTAGCCATGGTAACTCCAGCCATGGTAACTAGCACTACATTACTTTATCAGCCATGGTTACTAGCCATGGTAACTAGCCATGGTAACTAGCACTACATTACTTTATCAGCCATGGTTACTAGCCATGGTAACTCCAGCCATGGTAACTAGCACTACATTACTTTATCAGCCATGGTTACTAGCCATGGTAACTAGCACTACATTACTTTATCAGCCATGGTAACTAGCCATGGTAACTAGCACTACATTACTTTATCAGCCATGGTAACTAGCCATGGTAACTAGCACTACATTACTTTATCAGCCATGGTAACTAGCCATGGTAACTAGCAATACATTACTTTATCAGCCATGGTAACTAGCCATGGTAACTAGCACTACATTACTTTATCAGCCATGGTAACTAGCCATGGTAACTAGCACTACATTACTTTATCAGCCATGGTAACTAGCCATGGTAACTAGCCATGGTAACTAGCCATGGTAACTAGCCATGGTAACTAGCCATGGTAACTAGCACTACATTACTTTATCAGCCATGGTAACTAGCCATGGTAACTAGCACTACATTACTTTATCAGCCATGGTAACTAGCCATGGTAACTCCAGCCATGGTAACTTCAGCCATGGTAACTAGCACTACATTACTTTATCAGCCATGGTAACTAGCCATGGTAACTAGCACTACATTACTTTATCAGCCATGGTAACTAGCCATGGTAACTAGCCATGGTAACTAGCACTACATTACTTTATCAGCCATGGTAACTAGCCATGGTAACTAGCACTACATTACTTTATCAGCCATGGTAACTAGCCATGGTAACTAGCCATGGTAAATAGCACTACATTACTTTATCAGCCATGGTAACTAGCCATGGTAACTAGCACTACATTACTTTATCAGCCATGGTAACTAGCCATAGTAACTAGCACTACATTACTTTATCAGCCATGGTAACTAGCCATGGTAACTAGCACTACATTACTTTATCAGCCATGGTAACTAGCCATGGTAACTAGCACTACATTACTTTATCAGCCATGGTAACTAGCCATGGTAACTAGAATAAATTACTTTATTACTGTTTTATCCCGTTTTACCGACCATCAAAACCTTGGTGATCCCAATTTCATGTAGCTGTCAAGTAACTTCACATTACCTGCACACCTGCAGCAGGTTGAAAAATAATGAATTAGTTGTGGTGGTAAACACGCGGTATTGTAGTCGTCATGGTAACCTGTTGTGAGAGTGCTGCACTGACAAGCTGCTGCTTCCTTCGTGGGAAGATGTTCGAGATCTCGCATTTTAACCAATCAGGGCTGATGATGAGGATCACGTTACTTACCGACAGCCAATCAGATGATTTGTTGGTCTTCTCTGATTTATTAGTACAGCTGGACTGGAGATAGTGCAGTTTGAATAGTTTCAATTAAGACAGCGGACGCTGAGTGCGAAAACTTGTGCACTGAGCTACTGTTGTCTCGTTGTTTTGACTCTGCAAAGCCATGGCTTTCTTGCACTTGACTAAGGTATACCAGTCTCTTCCACACCTCTACAATTTCAATCTATTTTCTAGAAATATTAACGTTTTCTTCAATGATCATTATTATCAGTGCTGCAAAGGAAGTGTTAACTGACTCGCGTTCGTATTGATTTTAAAATTAAATGAATTTCCGCTTTGCTATTCTTCGGGGCATTGAAATTGAAATGAATTTAAAGGTCCTTTGTGAGAAAAGCCTGGAGGGTGTACCCACTTATGTACATTATACATAGAATTATGCGCCTGCATGGTACATCATGATATCCTAAACCAATAAAATCATAATGATTCCTGTGATACGAAAACTTTCTAAAAGTTGATGGCATGCATTCAATGCTCTTGCGGGTAATTTGAATTTGGGACGTTGGGAGGTCGATTTGTTATCAACTCTTGTTTAGTTACGGTCTTATTTGCTGATTAGAATTAAGTAAGCTGGCTGTCATACCCATATTACCCAAGCAGTCACAAATCTGAACTTTTTATAAATACAATCCTCCCCCTGTGGTGTCCTAATTTACGGAGTGGATGAAAATTTTTGAGCGCTGTTCTTTCAAATCAACCAAGTTCAAAAGATTGTGTGGGGTCATTAATCATAACATTCAATCGTTATCAATTGTCAATTAAAAGATTTTAAATGATGGCCCTACATCGCTCCGTTAAAGTTTATGAACCCTATATCTGCAGGCGTTGTTAAAGTTTATGAACCCTATATCTGCAGGCGTCGTTAAAGTTTATGAACCCTATATCTGCAGGCGTTGTCCCACGCTTACACGACAGCGGAGGAGGACCCTGACATGCAGTTTCAACAGCTGAGTTTGAACCTGCAACCGGTTCACAAGGATCCGAGACATAAGGCTCTTGTTAAGATTGAGAACTGTAAACTTCTGGTAAGATATTTGCTGTCGGCACTTATACAGCATGTTTACTGCATGTTTACCAGCATGTTTACAGCATGTTAACAGCATGTTTACAGCATGTTTACAGCATGTTTACAGCATGTTTACAGCATGTTTACAGCATGTTTACAGCATGTTTACAGCATGGATATTAGCATTTTAGAAGACAATTAGGTGACATCCTGTTTTTTTATTAGTTCTCATAAAGCATAGATTTATCAAGCGTGTAAAAACTAAACAGTCATATAGCTGCAACAAATTAAAAACAATTAATCAACAAATTCACTAAATCACGATTTTACTAGATTAGATGAAACAGGAATAGAAGTTTATAAGCTGAATTCAAAAGAAATATTTACGAGTATATTTACCAATACAAAATTTAAACAAAAAGAATCATTTAAAAATCTAAATTTTCTACTTGAACGATCAACTGTTTCTTTAACACGGAGAATGTTCTGGAGCCACATAACTGCTACTGTTACAGAGAAGCTTATTATTTGGTCGTCTCCAGACTCTTTTTGATATCCAGCACGTACCTGACCGCCGCACTGTTGTTGTCCTGAAGCTCAGTGTATATTTTATTCAGCTGCCCTGCTTCTACAAGCTCTATGTCCGGGTATATCTCGTTTTTAAAGCAGAAATCGACCACCTCCTGCGTGGCGGGGATTCCGCCGATCAGAGAACCAGCAATGGATATCCTCTTCAATATTAGCATAAACTGATTGTATTGCATGGGTGCTGCAATGCAGCCCAGTTGGACGAGAGTACCGTCAGTCTTCAGCATGGAGATGTACGGAGCTATGTCGTGTGGAGCGGAGACAGTGTTAATGATCAGGTCTAACTTTCCTCGCTCCTTCCTCACTGAGTCAGCATCTTTGGACACCACATAATCCTCCGCTCCTTTAGATTTTGCTACATCGATCTTCTTGTCGCTGCTGGAAATGGCCACAACTCGGTGTCCCAGAGCGGCCGCTAACTTGATGCCCATTGTGCCCAGTCCCCCGATCCCGACTATCCCGATATTCAGCTTCTTTTCCGTGTTTGTTGCTCCCCAGTGATTCAGTGGAGACCACATTGTGATCCCTGCACACAGGATAGGTCCTGCCTTTTCCAGTGGCATCCCCTCTGGTATCTTGATTATGAAGTGTTCGTGGACCACGTCAAACTCAGAGTAACCTCCCCAGTTCTGTACCTCCGGGTTTCCTCCTATGTGGCAGTTTTCCTGTGGTATATGAACATAATAAAGATAGCATACATTTGTATTGCGCTCAAGAATAATTTAAAGAAAAGTTTCAATTTGACATTTTTGTAACACAAAAAAGAAAAGCCCACCTTCTTCTTAGGAGTATTGTAAGTGTGTGTAAAGCCATTAACACAGTAGCACTCCTCACCCCTGTGACACACCTCACAGATCAGGCAGCTATCCCTGATGCAACCCACCCCCACATTGTCCCCCACCTTTACTCGGCTCACTTTCTCTCCCACCTCCACCACTGTCCCCACCAACTCGTGACCCGGTACAATTGGGTACGTTGATCCTGGCAAGTAATAGTGGGTTAAGAACTTGTTGGAACACGGTAAGTAGTAGTGGGTTAAGAACTTGTTGGAACACGGTAAGTAGTAGTGGGTTAAGAACTTGTTGGAACACGGTAAGTAGTAGTGGGTTAAGAACTTGTTGGAACACGGTAAGTAGTAGTGGGTTAAGAACTTGTTGGAACACGGTAGTAGTAGTGGGTTAAGAACTTGTTGGAACACGGTAAGTAGTAGTGGGTTAAGAACTTGTTGGAACACGGTAAGTAGTAGTGGGTTAAGAACTTGTTGGAACACGGTAAGTAGTAGTGGGTTAAGAACTTGTTGGAACACGGTAAGTAGTAGTGGGTTAAGAACTTGTTGGAACACGGTAAGTAGTAGTGGGTTAAGAACTTGTTGGAACACGGTAAGTAGTAGTGGGTTAAGAACTTGTTGGAACACGGTAAGTAGTAGTGGGTTAAGAACTTGTTGGAACACGGTAAGTAGTAGTGGGTTAAGAACTTGTTGGAACACGGTAAGTAGTAGTGGGTTAAGAACTTGTTGGAACACGGTAAGTAGTAGTGGGTTAAGAACTTGTTGGAACACGGTAAGTAGTAGTGGGTTAAGAACTTGTTGGAACATGGCACACAACACGGTTCACAAAATGTATATTTAATTGCCATAAAGATAACAATCATCAATCATCTTACCCCATTTTTCAGACATCTCATTGAGCACATTGTGGACATCAGAATGACAAATTCCACAGAACTTTAGCTCGAACTTGACATCGTGGAGGCCTACTTGAGGCCGGTAGATAGTTAACTGTTTGAAACTCTCCCCACACTGGTCCACACCCCACGCTGTGACCGGGTACTCAGTGTCCAGGGGCGCCGGGATCGGCTTGTGGACTGCTATGTCAGGGTTACTGAACTTCATGCTTTCTTGCTATGTGGAGGCTGTCAGGGGTTTGGTTCTACTATCGTTCAGAATATAAAATAACCATAAAGTTAAGAATCAAATGAAACTGATTTGAGTGTGAAATATTCGGTTTAATGATAATCTACCGTAACAAACCTACCGGGAGTATGCTTTGATCTGAGTGGCATTCTCCCTATGGCTTAGACACTAAACAGGATTCAACAGGAATAAGTATAAATTTGTCAATGAGAGTTCGAACACTCCCGTCTTGACTATAATACAAAAATACAAAATAAATAAAAACTATGGCATATTATAGGTTATATAACTATGACAACAAGGCTTCGTCCTCTAGGAGCATTCATCTGAACTTGGCCCAGAACATAGTTCAGTTATATAGCTCATCCTTGCATCAGAGGGACCCCATGAAACGTCAGTTCTTAAGCCTATGGTTAACTTAGCCTCCTTAGTCCTTACCTCTGTACGTGGTAGAGTGGGAGTCTCACAACCAAACGATATACCGCATTAGAAATCGGAGAAAATATGAAAATTTTAACGTTGCTGTCTCTGCATATCCTATCAAATTGTTGCTAGACGTTATTTGATACCCACGATAATGATCTACTTCCGTGCCAATGGCGACGCCCGCGACTAGTACTACCAAGAATGAATGAGATAATGCGCATAAATCTTTCTTAATTTTAATTTGCACTACCCAACGTAAAAGATCGTAATCTTTGTTTTAAAACTCTATATTATAAAGTTTAGGCTAAAATGGAGCGAAATCGATGGAAAATGCTTGGTCGAGTTGCATTTGATATTCTTTCTGTTATCCTTACTTGTACTTGATTAGGTCTCCTCAATCATTCGAGTGGCCTGCACCAATGAACTCCCGTTTGTGACGTATCATCTCCCTCCAAAGTTTTCGGTCACTAGCCATCTCGCTCGCTCCTTCTAGGTCTATGTCAGTGTTTCCTGTAAACGATGCAGCATCTTCCAGCAAACATTTCCTCCAGTTCTTTCTTGGACGGCCCCTAGATCTTCTCCCATGGGCAGGGGTCCAGTTAAGCAGGTACTTAGGAAGCCTAGTGTCTGGCATTCTGGTGACATGGCCAAACCAACGCAGGCGGTTTGCTCCTATGTACGTCTCTACTGGATTTATCTTTGCACGCTCCAGCACTTCAGTGTTTCTAACCCGATCGAGCCATCTTATCCTAAGTATTCTCCTCAAGCAACGCTGATGGAACACCTCAAAGCGATGTAGCTGCTTTTTGGTTGTGTTCCAAACCTCACTACCATATAACAATATTG